GCTAGGAACTGGGCTCTACGAGGGTAGAACTTCCGAGCCAAAATCTCTTCTTCTCGGAGCCTTCTGGCACTCCGGGACTCGCCTCTAGCACTCTGGAAGAGCTAGGGAATGGGAGGGGCTAAGAGGGGTGTTTGAGAGAGAAAGAATGGGAAATGTGTGAGTTTTTGGGGTGATTTGCGCCTCTATTTATAGGTTGAGTCCAGTTTGAATGCGGGGCGTTCCCTTGCTGAACATTGGGTGTTCGTGTCCAGGTGTCATCATCTGGTGCCAAGTCGTGGTGAGTAAGCAGTTGCCCAGATCGCGCCATGTGTTGCTCGCTGGTTACTCCAAAAACTGATTATCTTCTAAAATCCGTAACTTTTGCATATGAGCTCCATTTTTGACGTTCTTTATATCCCCACGTAGGTATTGACAGGATATACAACTTTCATATAGACTCCGTTGGCTAATTTTTATTTTATTTTTAAAGTTATATTTTAATAGACTTAGACAGTTAAAATCCGTTAAAAAATCATAACTTTTTCATACGACGTCAGTTTTTTACTGTCTTTATATTGAGCTCCTATTAATGAGATCTTCAATTCTCATTTAGGTTGTATCGGCTAAAAATCGATCGATCTAAAATTCGATTTCCGGGCTGTGTACTGCTATGCCAAATCTTAGAAAAATCATAACTTCCTCATACGAAGTCAGATTTTGACGTTCTTTTTATGCACACTCTCGGTTTAACGTATACTACGACTTCGTTTAGATCACTAAGGCTAAAAATTATTTAATCGCAAACTCACTTTTTACGTCACACAACATCGTGTCGGTTTTATCGCGAAACTTCGACAGATCATAACTTCTTCGTTATGACTCGGATTTCAACGTTCTTTATATGTACAGAACCCTTGTGACATGTATTATAACTTGGTTAAGATTATTTATTCTAAATAATCTTCTATCAAAGTTTTGTTGTTTCTTAACGCTCATTGTCTCTAAATTGACTAACCCGAATTTGCAGACGTTACAACTTTGATGTATGGGCATATGATTATCTCATTAAAAGGGACCCCAACTGTTGGTCAAGAGCTTTTTTAAATGTGGGAATGGGATGTGATGCAATGGAAAATGGTGTTTCTGAGAGCTTCAATGTTGATATTGAAGAATCTAGAAAGAAACCATTGATCACTATGTTAGAGGACATAAAGGTGTTTGTGATGGAGAGATTGTACATACGGAAAGGGAAAGGATTGGTTGGAATTTGGTAATCTGTCTAACTATCAGAAAGAAGCTTGGTGAACTAAAAAAGTTGAGAAGATTAGTGACCATATATGTTTTACTTACTTTTTGTATATGCAAGTGTTAACTAACTTTTTGTAATGGCAGATTCCAGGTTCCATATGTTAGTGGATACAAATAGTTTGAAGTTGTGCAAGGTAATGAAAGGTACGATGTTGACCTGGAGAAGAGAGAATGTGGATGTAAAGATTGGCAATTGACATGAATTCATTGTGTACATGCCATATGTGCCAATAGTGTCATATCTTCTTTGAATCTTGATTCAGAGGAATATGTTGCAGAGTGGTTTACTAATCTGCATTTCTTAGGGCCTATGAGTATACCATACATCCCCTGAATGATAGTACCTTGTGGCCCCACATGCCTAATGTTCACCAGATACTACCTCCTATTAAGAGGAGGTTACCTGGTAGACCATGTGTGAAAAGAAAAAGAGACCAAACAGAAAATGAACTCATTGGGAATACAAGACATACTATAAGCATGGCAAGTGTTCAACACAAATGTACAATTTGTAATGAAACTGTACACAACAAAGCTACATGTCCAATGAGGGGTCCTTCAAAAGCAGGTCCAAGTAAAGCAAAAAAGAAGAGTAATGCAAAAAAATGTCCTTCATAAGCAAGCACTCCAACTCCAAGTACTCCAACACATATGAATCAAGATCCTATGACTCAAGAGCATGTGAATCAATAGCTTGTGATTCAAGAGAATGTCCCTGTGAATCAAGAGCATGTGAATTATCACACCCCCGAACTAGGACGACAAAAACGTCTGGGGGCGGATAACTTCATTGTAGTGTATCATCACAATTGAATATAATTGAAAGCATAGCAACCATCATCATACATTAAAGATACCAACATACATTGTTTACAGATTGTATTTGTTCACAAATTTTACACAAAAGTGACAATAAATATGATGTTCCAAAATGTAGTAAATATCTAAAATCCATAGCCCGGATACCTGCTCACTGAGTCCCTGAAAATACAAGTCGTTTTGAAAAGCGTCAACTAAAAAGTTGGTGAGTTCATAAGCATATTTTTATAAAAAGCTTTGTAACATCTTTGATTGTAATAATTTGTAAAACTCCAGAAAATTTGATATTTGCTGTAAAAGTATGGTTTGTAGTCTCGTTCTAAAACTGTGAATAATTGCATGCGTGTCCTTTGTTTTCTTTTGTTTGTAAGTAAAAAGAGTGTGTATTCCCAGAAAATCCAATATTTTCTGATGTAAGAAAAAACAGTAGTCTTAAAACCCTAAGACCGGAGCGGTGATAGTAAAGTACAAAAAATGGGGCATAGTTTTATATTTTATAAAACCAGTGAAGTGTATAATTACGTAAATACAAAATATCATTGTTAATCCCTATGTGAGTCGTTACAACCATGCTTGATACGACTAAAATGCATGTCATGACGTTCTTCAGGCGTCGGTTTCGGTAAGATATTTGTCACCCTAGACTGGCCTAGTTTAACTGTAGCAAACAACTCATGTGTGGGGGTGTCAACCCCATATAGATCTACACACAATTACCTCGCTCTCCCTCCAAGAGACTCTGGTTATAATTACATGACTTACGGTGTACGTTAGGTAGGTACGGCGAAGGAGAGTCTCATAAGTGCCTTAACAGGTTTACGCGAAATTTTTTGTCGTAAAACTTTTGGTTTGTATACCGTTTTAGTTCAATTATTTATAACGCTTTTTATAAATAATCATTAATGAATTCGTCTAATTGTAATATACGTTGTGTAAATAGTATAATCCTTTAGGTATTCAAACTATTAAAATGTGACAACATTTTACGACTATTTTACTAATAAAAATAGTTTTTAGTAAAACAACAAAGTTTTGTAGTTTGTCTAGCACACCAAATTTTAGTTTAAGAGATTTGTAACACAAAATATACTATCTTGGTATGACTCTAACATGTCATGATTTTTTTATAATAATATTTATAGAAATCTTGAAATTTATTAAATTCCATTATTTGTGTAAAAATAAAGGTTAAAATTTCATATAACCAAAAGTTAACCATTTTTTAGTGTAACCCATATTTTTATCGTTTTAAATGAACAAACATAACTACAAGACTTTCTAGCATAAAAATGTTATTACTATATCTTTTATGATTTTGAACATGTATAAGGACCTTTTTAGTGGTGACTTGTTTCATCTTTGACACATAACCATGATATATGAACTTTCCAAGAGATAGATTTACCCTATCCTCATGAGGCTTGTAAATCTCGAGTTATGGAGTATTGGCAATGAAATATTCAACATTTCAAACACAAGTAGTTACATAAACACACAAGAGCATGCAAACATCCAGAGATTTAAACAAAACTTGACTTGTATTCACCCCCGCCCCCCCAAAAAAAAAGGATGAAAAACATGAAAATAGTGGGGTATGAAGCTTACCTTGGGAATTTTCGAGATGTAGAAGAAGAAGAAAAAGAAATTTCGAGCCTAGCTTGTGTTCTTGGTGAGATTCTCAAAATGGGTGTGCTCTAGGGGTCATATACACAAAAATGAGAGTGTAAGTGGAATGATCTTGGCATAAACATGAAACAAAACACTTTGAGTTTGACATGGACTTACCAAGTTCTTAAAATTGCTTGAAGAAACCCCACAAATGGCATGCACCCACACAAAATTTTTGAGAGAAGGAGGAGGATGTTCTAGTGAGTTAAGTGAAGAAAATGAGATTTGTGGAGTGTATGTGTGTGTGTGTTCGGCCGAGAGTTAAAAGATGGAGGGAGGAAGGAGCGTGTTGACTTATGGAGAGATGATAGGATAACTACCTTGATACATGCAAGATTAAGCATGGATATATGGGGGGTAATAAGGAGGTGGCACCTTATTATCCACCCCTTTTCCTTTTTTTTTTGTTCAAGGCCATAACCGAGCAAAGGGGTTTTCGGCCCAAAAAGATGGCCCAAGAAGGATGGTTCCGGTTTTTGGCTTGGCCCAAAAGAGTTTTTGGTCCAATATGAGGGCCCAATAGAGGTTTGCGGCCTAACAAGGCCCATTGAAGTGCTCTCGGCCTAATAGGAGGCCCAATAGTGGTTTTCGGCCCACTAAGGCTCAATAAAAGGTTTTCGGCCCAATATAGAGCCCAATAGAAGTTTTCGGCCCATTAAGGCCAAAATATGGGTTTTCAGCCCAACAAGACCAATTGAATAAGTTATCGGCCCAATAGGGCCCAATAAAGAAGTCTTGGTCCAATAAGGGTTTTGGGCCGAGAATTCTTGGGCTAGGGCCCAAATTGAGTTGAACTTAGCTTATTGGATCGAGTTTTGGACTTGCATGAGGTCGTTTCGACTTGAATTTCCATGTATGAATGTATGAACTTAATAGCTTTGCAGTTTGAATTTCACTAAATGAAATGTTGTACGGTTACATAAAGGAAATTGTCTTGTACAAGGATCAACATCTTAACCCTAATTTGCTAGTTGTGACAGAATCAAGATCCTGAGAATCAAGATCCTGTGAATGAAGTACCCGTCAACCAAGATCCTGTGAATCCAGTACCTGTTAACCAAGTGCATGTGAATCTCGGTGTTAGAGAAGAGAGAATCAACAAGATACAAATCAGGATTCAAGTTTTTCGAAAGGATGGCAAAGGAGCAACTGAGGACAACCCAGTTACTTTAGAATGATTAGGGTTACTTGATTTCTTTTGCTTTGGAAGTATGTAATAGTACACTATGTATGGTGACTTTCTTTTGAGAATTGGGCCAACTTTTGATGTAATTGATAATACTACCCTTGCTTGTAACCTAGCAACTTTTGATGGCCTTTTAGTAATGGAATCAGATATGGTATCCTATGTCAGTTGTGTTTTGTCTTTTTTAATATTATTGGTACTAATGCATTAGTTTATTAAAAAGCTTGTTATAATGGGGATCATATGTCAATTGTCTATTAGGAATCATATTTGTTTCTATCAATGTCCTTGTCTTTTGGTTGTTGAAATTGCAACCAAATTCAATGTAAATTACATTCAAATGTGTACCATGTAACATTTCATTCAATACCAACCCAACATTCAATATAAACCATTAAATACATTCAAACTACCAAAATTCATACATCATACCAAACTCCATTCAACTGTTTTCAGATAATATTACAACTGATTTCAAACCTATAACTACGTGCTTTATTCTTCAGTTCATGAAGTTCTCTTTAACTGCTTCAAGTTATTGTTCTAAATCCAGATTCCCAGTCACAGGTTCATTAATCCATTCCTAATACTTCCACTTCTTACCTGGTTTTTTCGAAATCAAATATAAAGATGGTAAGAAGCTCAATATCTTTATTTATTAGAAGGAAAATCAAATGTATAGAGGGAAATCAAGATCGACATACTAGAGAATTGGGGCAAACTTTAACCTTTTTGTTAGGGTTGTCTTTAGTCTTGGATGTGCATATTCGAATTGGGAGTTGACTATAACAAAGCTCCTATTTCTTTACGATGGAACCAGATGAAATGGGAGTTGACATCTTCTTCTTCGATTTTGGGTATGGGTTTGAAAGTTTTTTCGATTGAATTTAGGGCTAGGTATCGTATTATAATCGATGGAACTCAGAGATGATCCACGTAGGAGTATTTTCTTTTAATGATTGTCGACATATACAACCATGTCAGCAAATATGGCATCAATCGATAACAATGATTTAATTTACACACAACAACAAGTTCAAGGGGAAAATATGGATAAAAAAAGTCAGAGACTAAATATGTACAAACCCAATAATATGTTACCCTATTAAGTCATTATTCCTTTAAAATATGATAAAAAGGATGGTTCATGTAACAAACCTTTACAAAAATATAAAATACAAATAATTAAAATACATACACACCAAAATGATACATGCATAATAATGTCCATGCTCACATGAAGTTGATAGACATGCTTATTAGTAAATACAACTTTATTATATAGTTGTAATGACCAGTTTGAAAAATATTTTTGAATTAGTAGTCAATTTACTATAAAACTAGTGTTGGAGGGTTGAAATAAAAATATATGTATCCACTTGCCAAACCCTATCTCCCCCGTTCCTCAAATAGGTCGCCCTACCTCCTCTATCGGTGCTTCTTGCTCCTTTTCCGAATTTTGCTAACATTTTTCTCTGCAGACGATTCAAACCCTAAACCCTACCTCCATCACAGATCCAAGGTCAGAACAACCATACTGCTTCAAATTATGTTTTTTGTTGTTGTATATGTAATTGTATCTGATTTGGTTTGCTGCAATTGTGAAACCCTAATATTTGAATTCTCTCGATCTGTTTGAAATTCCAATAGAAATGGGCGAAACAGAGATGAAGGATACTGACGCTTACGAGGAAGAGCTTCTCGACTACGAAGAGGAGGACGAGAAGGCCCCTGATTCAGCCGGTGTTAAAGTCAACGGCGAAGCCGTTAAGAAGTAAGTTCCGTTAGGATATTATGCTTGTAGTATAATTTTATGATAAAATCCGACATAATTATAATTACTAATTGTGGATCTGCTATATGTTTAAGCTGTGGAGCTCTTTTTGTGAAGTGTTTGGGAGGATAGAAGTTAATATTTGGGCTTTGAGTTTTTCTTGATTGGTTTAAAAGTTGAACTTATTATATCTCCAGTTTCGATTCTTAACCATGTTTTTGGAGTTTAAATCACACCCTGGGTGGTTGGATTGCTTGAAGTTTTGGTTTTTTACTATTTCATCAACTGTTTTTGTTCCTCACTTCAGACATCTGTAAAAAAGAATATCTTTGTGTATGGATGAGGAGACGATACTAATTTTAAGATAATCTATTGACATGGAGATGAAACTGTTTGTAAAGCTTTATTTGGAGTAGGGATCTGATCTATCTTGGTTACAATCTATTTCCCTGATTAGTACAAGATAACAATTTAACTCTAGTTATTGTTACAATTAAACAAACTAAATTCTCTTTAACTTACACAAAAGTGAATAAATTTTTGATGAACAATATGTAAATTTCCACATGAATATATGGTTATATTCATATCAGAACGAAAACAAGACTATTGTCAAACATTTACTTGGTAGGTAGCTCAACTGGTTTACTCTTTCAGAGGGTTGATTTGTCATGTGGTACTTATTGAATTTTAAGAACATCTTTTAACAAGTAATTTAGTGTTACATTAGGGATTGATTGCAGCCATAAATGCATAATCAAACCTTTTTATTGTAACTGATCCATTTTTTTTCAATTGCAGGGGTTATGTAGGAATTCACAGTTCCGGATTTAGAGATTTTCTTTTGAAGCCAGAGCTACTTCGTGCTATTGTGGATTCAGGATTTGAACATCCTTCCGAAGGCAAGCTTTTTTCTAACCATTTAAAAGCCACTTCACATATGGTCTCATTTCATCTTTCTTTAAATGGGAAACTAGTTTCTTTTTTTTAGAATCTTTAATAACATTTGGTATCTGTTTGCAGGTAAATAACAACTATCACCCCTATCATTTGGAGAAGTGGTCAGATTTGGTAATTTTTTTTAATTGAGGATTCAATTTCTTTGGTCTTCATCAGTGCAACACGAATGCATCCCTCAAGCTATTTTGGGCATGGATGTCATTTGCCAAGCAAAATCTGGTATGGGAAAAACTGCTGTTTTTGTCCTTTCAACACTGCAACAAATTGAGCCTGTAGCTGGTCAAGTAGCTGCCCTTGTTTTATGTCACACAAGGGAATTAGCTTATCAGGCATGTATTATATATTATATATATTTATATCCACAACTTGTAGAAAACTCACATCAATTAATTACTGTTTACTTATATTGTTTTGATTGTTTACTTCACAGATCTGCCATGAGTTTGAAAGATTCAGCACTTATTTAACTGATATCAAGGTTGCTGTCTTTTATGGTGGTGTAAACATCAAGATTCACAAGGAGCTTCTCAAAAATGAATGCCCACATATTGTTGTTGGGACACCTGGAAGGATTCTTGCACTTGCTAGGGACAAAGATCTTGCTTTGAAGAGTGTGAGGCATTTTATACTTGATGAGTGTGACAAGATGCTCGAGTCACTCGGTATGCTTTCATATACTTATGCATTTCAATTACTGTTTAAAGATTTTAACTTTTGTTTGTTTATACTTTATATTGATTGTTGATAGACATGAGGAGAGATGTGCAAGAAATTTTCAAGATGACACCACATGACAAACAAGTAATGATGTTTTCAGCAACCTTAAGCAAGGAGATTCGACCAGTCTGCAAAAAGTTCATGCAAGATGTAATGTCCCATGGCCAGCTCCTCTACTTCAACCTTTTCATAATGTCAACATCTATTCACATATTAATTGAGGGATGGGAGAGAGGGTGTGAAAGTAGTATTTTTTTTTTTTTTTTTTTGGGGGTTTGTTAAATATGTTTGATAGTAGATTTAGCATAATGGTGTGATGGAGTTTGAGTCTCTGATTGAAAAGCATCTGGAAAAGGGACCAATGGGGATCTTGATTCAGAGGATGTTGATGGTTGTTTTGGTTAGCTTCTGAAATCTGAAGGGTCTCTCTCTCTCTCCTAATACGCTTTTACTATGATATTTGTTCCTTTCAGCCAATGGAAATTTATGTGGATGATGAAGCCAAGTTGACTCTACATGGTCTTGTACAGGTAATCAATCAATTAATCAATCCTTGTTTCCAATGGAATTAACCATTCCATTCCTTTTGTTGATTCCAGTTAAGTGTTTTTGTAACTAACTATTGCAGCACTACATCAAATTGAGTGAGCTGGAGAAGAATCGAAAGCTGAATGATCTGCTGGATGCATTAGATTTCAATCAGGTTGTGATATTTGTGAAAAGTGTAAGCAGAGCAGCTGAGCTCAACAAGTTGCTTGTGGAATGTAACTTTCCATCAATCTGCATCCACTCTGGCATGTCCCAGGAAGAAAGGTAGCTTCATCTTTCTGTTTTTTTTTTTTTTTTAATTTTTTATTAATAATAATATAGTGTTATTAATTTGGTCAAACTTTTGAAGGTTGACTCGTTACAAGGGTTTCAAGGAAGGACACAAGAGAATCTTGGTGGCAACGGATTTAGTTGGAAGGGGTATTGATATCGAACGTGTAAACATTGTCATAAACTATGACATGCCTGATTCTGCTGATACCTACCTCCACCGTGTAAGTTCTCTCTCTCTCTCTCTGTCTCTTTTTTTTATTGATTAAAAAAAACTGAGGGAGGGGTATTTTGGTCATTTGACAGGTTGGTAGAGCTGGGAGGTTTGGAACCAAAGGTCTTGCCATCACATTCGTGTCGTCTGCAGCCGATTCTGATGTTCTTAACCAGGTCTGTATCCACCTCTATAACTAGAATTATTAACAATATATAAAAACAATAATAATAATTATTATTAACAATCATTAATTGCTGCTTGATTTTGGTGATTTTAGGTTCAGGAGAGATTTGAGGTTGATATCAAAGAGCTTCCTGAGCAGATTGATACTTCAACATATAGTAAGATCCTGTTTCTTTTTATTTTATTTTTTGATGTTTAAAAGATATATGATAAGCTAATTTGTAAAATGTCGGAAATTTAATCTGGAAGACATAATCATGTTGTAACTTTTTCTATTAAGTCGTTCTTTTTGCATTAAGTAAAAAGAATTACCCTTATAACTTCAAGTCCAGTGCGGGCAAATTTCTAGGGTTGTTTTGAGGGCATTCTTGTCTTTTAAATAAACTAGTTTATAACCCGTGGGAACCACAATTATAAAATTAATTCAACTTTTACAATAAAAATTTATAATTATTATTCATTTATTTTAAATAAATAATTTTAAATAAATTATTAATTAGGAGATATATCAAATTTTTATAGTTATTATAAATTCAAATTTAACATATAATTAGAAAATGTAAATTTAAATTTTGAAATGAGTTACCTAATATATATCTACATGATAGATGACATAATATTAATTAGGAGTTGTATTAGAGTGACACTTGGCAAATGGAGATTAAAATTATTTATTTATTAGAATAGGGATGAGACAACTACGAGGGTATTATCAATATCAATAGCAAAAGGTGAAAGCACCCTTGAAGATGTTTACTGCTTTTGGTGGTACTACTTAAGACATGACAGGATTGGATCTACAAGGGTATTTTTGTCTTTTGCATGTAGTAGAGATCTAGTACAACCTGATGTGTCTTGTGGTGTCATATGATAGTGACTTGCAATGATTTGGTTGCAGTGCCATCGTAGGAAAGCTTTTAGCAAGAAGCAACCATGGGATGGGATGATGTCAAGTGTGCTCAACAGTGGTGAATATTGAAGAAGAAGATGAAAATGATGATATTGCTCCTTATGTCTTATTATAAAACAATTAGAAACATCAAAGGGGATATCTTATCACAAGATTGTTGAGTTTTGTAACATCTATAAACTTGTTTTCCTAGTTCTTATGTAGCTCAAGTAGGGAGAGTTGTTTGTTGTTGACCTATTTTTATTTGCTGAATGGTGCAACTTATGATGCGTGAAGTACAAGTTGCTGTAGCATTATAAATCTTTTACTTGTTTGATTAGTCGTAAAAAATTTCATGATTGTGAACGTGTCTTGTCTAAGTTTAACCTAATGTACAAATTATGCAACCAAATTATGCAACCAAGTTTAACCTAATGTACAAATTCATGCGCTAGTGTTTCATTTTTTTTTACCAATTGATGTAAATGATTTTTTTCCCCAAATTTACACAATGTTTCATTTTTCTTACTAATTTATGCAAGAATATGCCTTTTTTTAGTGTGTGTGTATATATATATATATATATATATATATATATTACCAATTTATGCAAGAATATTCTAAAAAAATTCGCCATATGATTATGCAACAATGTTTTACCTTTTTACCACTTTATATAACAACTAGATGAGAGTTAGATGCGCCTTTGGCGCTGTGTTTCTTTTTTTCCTAATTTTAATTTATGGCCGATTACTATTATTTGATGATTAAGTTCTTTCTCTTTCTTATTTTGACACAAAAGTCTTTCTCTTTTTCATGTGATTATGATCCATGTGTGTTTGATTTTGTATGTCAAGTGGAGGTTTACGAAACCGAAAGCACTTCAAAGTTCAATCTTTGAAACAATAATTTACAACTTGGAAAAATAAGTATCCAATCTTTTCATTAAGACTGTTAACCATAAGTTCCACACATCTGTTGGAGGGTAAAAAAGGAAAGCTAACCACCAATATGTATCATTGGTTTGTTTGGCGTGTTTGTGATGTCGATCATTCTAGCATGAGACCCTTTCTTTCTCTTCACCTGAATATATATCATTTGTATATGGCATCACAAAAATTTACAAATTAAAAAAAAAAAAAAAGTTGTGCATAAGAGATGATAAAACGTACTGCAGCCCCAATAATTTGTCTCAGCTCATTATCATGGCTTTTATGTGTATCTTGAGTTACTAAACCGATTCCTTTTTACACTTTGACCAATACATCTTCCTTGATAACAACCGTTTCCTTGTGTCATAGAGCCTCTTACAAATCTGTTTCTCACTAACGAAGAGGACATACACCTTCACAAAATAAAAATTAAATTATAATCATAAATTTTTCCCTAATAAAACATTATAATTCAAAAATATTCTACCCAATTGTTATTATATAACCCTCACATAGACTTACTTCCACACACTTCACCCAACATTCTATCAGGCTCCCTTGCACTATTAGTGTCTATACAAGAACCATCAAAATAAGGTACAACATAAGTGCAATAATCAGCCAATGAGGACTGCCCACTTGTCATCAATAATCAGCAAGTCAAAAAACAGTCTAAATCTTTTGTTAGGTTGAGGAAAATAACCGGCCCATAGAGGAAGATCACCACTATAATTTACAATTGGGCAATAACCCTCAGCTTCACGGTTATATGTACACCCTGTTAACTGTCTTGTGTTGCAATGGTAGGGCCCGTTCCATAGGTTACAAGGGGCAGTTAAAAACTCGGTTCCTTGGTTATGTCCCCAATCAAGTTGATCTGCCATGGTGTAATTTGCTTCATACCAACCGCTATCTTCTAATATAGCCCATGTCATTTTTGAAACTACTGATCTTCTATCAACTGAAGCAGTCATGATCTCGTTCATCAGAAGTCTCTTCTCCCAATGAGTTCCGGATTCAGACAAAAAGTTAGGGAAATGATGTTTCCTTTTTAGTTAGGTGCTGTTTGTTTTTTAAAAAAAACCTCTTCAAACCAATTTCTGCTGCGCGGCGCAACTCACACGCAACACTTTCCCTCTCGCAGCAGTTTGTTTTTTGGAAGACTTCAGACTGCAAAACCTCTGCGCATGTGCTTCGTGGCGCAACACTTGACTTGCCTCTTCAAACCTCTTTAGCTTTCAATTTTTTGAAGTGTTTTTTTTAGAATTTTGGTATAACTTAATTTTTTTTAACTTTTATTTACGGATTTGATACAATTTGTTATTATAGTTTCCACAAATTTTTTTAACTTGATTTTTTTTAACAAAAAAACTTTGATTTTTTTTAATTTTTTTTATCGTTTCTGTTAATAATATTTCCAGTTTCAGTTTCATCTTTTTTAACGTGTGTAATTTTTTACGAACTTTATAGACATTGTTTGCAATACTTTCTTAATTTTTTTTATTTTCTTTTTTATGTTTTTTTAAATTAGTTTTTTTTCTAGAATAAAGCTGTTAGCTTCTTTTATATTTTTGTAAGTTTTTTTTTTAAAATTTTATATTTTTGTTTTTTTACATGTTCTTTTTAGTACTCTTTCAATGTTTTAAGACTAGAATTATTAAAATTTCGGTGTTGAGAACTATTTTCAGTTTATAAAATTAGTTTATTTAAATTTCAGTTTACTGCATCAATCTGCAGATGATAGATGATAAAAAACAAACATGCTTCTTATTATGTGCTGCAACCGTTTGTTCCACCTCTTCTGCTACAGAGGATTTTAGAGGTGGTCCGCAGACTTCATGAATTTTCGCTTCGAAAAAACAAACAACACCTTAATCAACTTAATGCATTAAGCACTTATTGAGATACCTGAAGCCCCACGGCCTCCACCATCTTCCAACTCAAGTTAACATGTTTCAGATTTTAAAAATATAAAAACTTTTGGAATTTAACAATTCAGCTGAGTTGGCCTCCTTTTTCTCCCGTCTCTAAAATGTGTAAAGGCATGAGGGTCGAATCCAAGGACATGCATCACCTGCAAATCCAAACTTATTAGGAACACTTTTTATAAAAAGCCCGAATCTTTTAAAATTTTGTACAAAAAATAAAAAAATAATAAGAAGAAACCAAACTCAATGTATGAGTGTAACGGAAAGTAGTGTTTCTGCTTCTGTGGTCAAGTGTCAAGTGCCAACATTCACATGCCCTGTTCAAACAGACCTAATCTCGTAAGCTATATATGGTTTGTTTTTTTGTTTTTTTTGTTTTTTTTACTTAATACAAAAGAACAAAGGAGAATCTTTCCCGGTTGGGTTATAACTTTATTCGCTTTTTCACTCTCCTTTACTTTTTCCTTCGGTTTCCCAAAGTTCTTTTTTTTTTTCTTGAGTTAAATTTTTTAAACATCATTTATCCAGACAACATTTTGTATTACCTGCACGACCCCATTGATCACGTTCACTTGGTACGACACATGCCAGGGTATTGCCAGATGTCGGTCTTGTGGTCACCAAAAGAACTAAATCAGCATCCGCAACACCCTCTGTAAAGATTTTTAAAAAAAATGTCATCTTTTTAAAATGGAATGAACAATTCCATTCATTTTTTGATTCCATCATAACAAAAAGATAGTGTACTTACTTATAGTTGGACAAAAAATCTTGCATCATTTCCCTGTTAGTCAAAAGTCAAAAATTAATCTTAGTAGGACTAAATAAAAAAATAAACAAATTCGATAACATGATGCTTAGCTGCCAACAATTCATTTGTGCAAATGCAAGCCAACCCTAACACATACTAACATCAACCCAACATATAAGCATTATATTCAGTTACTCGGAAAAGAATAGCAGCACCAACTAATAATTATATGTTATAATTATTAAAAGGACTTTTATTTCTATAATTTTCAGTAACTACAACATTTAGAATTCCAATTCAATTTTTTTTTGTTATTTTCCAGAAATAAAAAAAAAAAATATTTTCTCCATAATAGCTATAATCTATGATTTCACATAATTTAACATTTATATAAACGCAAACAATTTTCCGAAGTGAGAAATAAGTTTTTCTTTTACTATTTGGAATTCATAGTATATATTTTAAACGACAAAAAACATGTTCAGGTGTTCATTCCATTCCATTCCATTCCTGTGTGATTTCATTCGATCATACAAAATAGATATCATGCATACCATTGGGATCTCGTGTTGCTCTCAACACAGCCTATCATCCCCAGACAGATAGTTAGACAAAGAGAACAATCCAAACAGAGAAGATATGTTTCATGCATGTGTCTTGGAGTTCGGTGGTAACTGGGATAAGTACTTACCTCTTGTCGAATTTTTATATAATAACAGTTACCACACGTCAATCAAAATGCCGCCATATGAAGCACTATATGGGCGCAAATGTCGTACTCCATTATGTTGGCGTGATGTAGGACAGAAAATCCTTGGTGGTCCTGAAATGATTCAAGACATCACTGATAAGATTCAAGTCGTACGAGAAAGAATGAAAGCGGCCCAGGATCAACAAAAGTCCTATGCAGAAAAGACGAGACGACCCATAGAATTCCAGATGGGTGATTTCATAATGCTGAAGGTATCCCCATGGAAAGGAATTATGCGATTTGGGAAGAAAGGCAATTTGAGTCCAAGATTTGTTGGTCCTTTCAAAATCATCGAGAGAATTGGTAAGCAAGCATATCATTTAGAATTGCCCGAAAATTTGGCAGGTATTCATGATGTATTTCATGTGAGTTATCTGCGTAAATGTTTGAACAGATATGACGAAACGGTTCCGTTATCCGAGGTGAAACTGGATAATAAGTTAAGATATGTAGAAGATCCTGAAGAGATCATAAACGAAAGAACGGTTGATCTACGTAATAAAGAAGTGGAGTTGGTGCTTGTCAAATGGAAACACCATCGATGCCCAAATTATACTTGGGAAAATAAGAATGGGATAAGAGTGAAATATCCCCATTTGTTTAAATCGTTGTAATTTCGGGGACGAAATCCTCAAAAGGAGGAGGTATTTGTAACATACACGTTAATAACCTAGTTCAATTATTGTGTTTTGTAAGCTTGTTAGCTTAAAATTGAATATTATTAAATATTATATGGTTTTGAGCGTTGAGTTCTAACAAGATAGTTTTATGAGATTTGAAGTAAAACTATGTTTAGAATCATTCGGAAAGTATTGGAAGTCTTATGAGATTCCGATCAAAAAGTCAACTATCAAAATTAACGAAAATATAACATTTAATTTGGAAATAACTAAAACTAATGTTATTGAAAGTTGTAAATTATCTCGTTAGAAACGTTTAGGTGAAAACCTCACCGAAATCCGAGTTATAACGAAGAAGTTAT